TCATTAGGGATTATTGGCATGAATCCCCTTGTGTCAGCTGTCTGCAAAGTTAGGCAGACACACCTGCATCGGTTACACTCATTCTACATTTTTAAGATGTTCTTTGCAGCTGTAAGAGCTTGACACAGCATTTATTTTAAAGGACAGTTTAGATTCTGGAGCAGAATTACTTTAACGGGGGGTGGATTCTGCTGCTTAATCTGCAGCCAAGATATTGCAGAAAACACGTGGTCATGGCAGTAATGAAGAATCCTCTTTTGGCTGAGTGGCATGGACAGGATGGAGACAAATAGGGAATCCCATCTATACGTCCTGGTCTATGTGTCAAAAATATTACATAAAACATGCGTCTGATGAAGTGGGTATTCACCCACGAAAGCTTATGCTCCAATACATCTGTTAGTCTTAAAGGTGCCACAGGACTCTCTGTTGCTTTTTACAGATCCAGACTAACACGGCTACCCCTCTGATACATAAAACTAGTTTTTGTTTTTGTATAAACACATTTTTTCATCAAATCTAATCTCTATCTCTCTCCCCATACCCCCCTCTATCGAATCTATCTATCCCCATACACCCCCTATCTAATCTAATCTATCTGAGTGACTTCTCCAATTTAATTAACACTCTTTAGAAGTGCTGTAATTCTATTCTGGAATTATTTATATGAGTATTAAAGTTTGTGTGGACACATCCATATTTTTGATTAACAGTTTGTCTTCTGGAGTTCCTCCAGCTGCTCTTCCATACTGCATTGTGTCGCACTGGAACAGCCAATCTCTTAATTTATGTGCCCTCTACTGCTCCAGGGTCATCTTGGCTGGATGTCACTTTCCTGTGTAAATGCCGGCACATAGCCAGGTGTGCCCATTTGTGATTGCCATGTTCACACACCCAAGTCACCTACCCATAGAATCATAGAATATCAGGGTTGGAAGGGACCTCAGGAGGTCATCTAGTCCAATCCCCTGCTCAAAGCAGGACCAATTCCCAACTAAATCATCCCAGCCAGGGTTTTGTCAAGCCGGACCTTAAAAACCTCCAAGGAAGGAGATTCCACCACCTCCCTAGGTAACCATGATAGCAGCCATGCCCCATGCTTCCACATGGTCCTGTCTCAGGCCCTGCACTACCTTGCCCTCTGAGGAGAAAACATGTCCAGTTCCATTTGAACGAGTGTCACTGGAATGCCAGGATCTATGAGTGCCTGGCAGATACAGTTGGGCAATTTGGGGGGGGGGGGTGAAAACAATTTACTCACCCCAATAATGCAGTTTTGGTCGACCCCAACTCATTCTCAAATAATTTTGGCTGAACCAAAACATCAAAATTTTAGAAATATTGAAACTTTTTGTTTCAACCTGGCCTGACAATTTTTGTTTAGATTCTGGGCAGAGGGAAGTGCCCAGAATGATTCTATAGGGTGGTGGTTAGGACACTCACCTAAGGGTGCAGCCAATGCCAGTTTAACTCCCTGTGTCAATGGCTATTTACTTATTGATAAAAGAGGAATAGTTTCAGCAGGAGAGACTGAGAAAGCCTCACGTCAGACTATCCATTAGCCAGTGGGTAGAGCATGCTCCTGCAGTATGAGACCCCCAAATTCAGATCTCCTCTCCATATCAGGCAGAGGGGGGAACTGAAACCATATATCCAGGGAGGTCCCTAACCACTTGCTGAAACCACTGATGTCCCCTCAGCCATTTTGTTAATCAGGTATTCCCTTGGGTTTTGTCAAAACCAAATTGAAAACTTTCAGGTCACGTCTAAACAAAATGTTTCATTTTGACTCAGCTCAAAAACTCTTTGACGTTTCAATTTGCTGAAAATTTCAAAAACATTCTATTTGATCCAAAACCAAACTTTTTGTCAAATCTTCAAACTGAAAAATCCCTTATTTATTCATCTCAACTGGCAGAGCCCTTGCAGGAGACAGGTCAGTCCCGAGACATGGCCCAGCACTGTGCCAAAGCAAAGGAGCTCCGGCAGAGCTGTGGGAACACAAGGGATGAGAATGGGACCTGCAGCCATGCTCCCAGGGCCTGCCCTATATGAAGAGCAGGACCAGATTTTTGCAATGGATGCCACCACCAAACTCTATCATGGGGTTCAGAACAGTTTGGAGCTGAGCATGGAAGTCACCCAAGTACCCTAGGACACAAACCAGGAGGTGATTGCACCAGACAGCCAATCTCTCTTCAGAATACTGAGCTCTGAGGCACAGGAACAGGAAGTGAGGGCACTGATGGTGATTCCCCTCAGAACCCAAGCAAACTTCTGAAGGGAAAAAAGAGAGCAAGGGAGGACATGTTCATGGACCTTGTGACTGCATCCCACCAAGAAAACAGAAGAGCAGAGGGAGGTCTCCGCAGCAGGCAGAGTGGCTCCCAAGGGAGATCCTGGACAAAGGAGAAGACAGGCAGGAAAGGATGCTGGACTATACCCTGCAGACAGAGGCAAACAGCTCTGCTGGAGAACATTGTGGTGCTATGGTCACAGCCAGCACCCCACCCAGCCATGTCCTGCAACTTGTGGAGAACACAGGATACTGGGAGCCTCTTTTTGTTTCCCCAAATGGCAGGCCCTGCCCGCACCATTCCACCCACCAAACAAGGAGAACAGGTCCCACTTACACATTTGTTGTGAGCCCATCAGCACAGCCATGTGTATGCGCTCAGCACTCTGGGCATGTTCTGCCACACATCCATTGGTTATCACTTTGCACGTACATTAAATCCATAAATGTTATGTACAACTCGACTGAAAACTTTCACTGAGGTGCGGCTGCCCCCAGTAACACCAATTCTTAATCAGATCTTTACACAAACACCCTGCATTCATTTCCTTGGCTACAGGACATTCATTTTCTACCACAACCCATCCCTGACCCGTGTCTCTGATCACTTGGGGCTGGCTGTTAATAAGGTACAGAAAGTGCCATTATCTTTACTTCACAGCCATCGGTGAGGATCTCCCCTTGGCTCTCCCAGACATTGTGCAAATCGAGCAAGTGCCTATCACATGAGGCAGATACTATTCAGCAGCCTTCAGCCATGTCAGGAGGCTTCTCCTCCTTTCCTTGAGTCTTCCAACCACCCTCTCCACAATCGTTCTTCAGATATTCAGGGTACAGTCAAACAGCTCCTTTCTCCTGCCCTTGTCTCCAGGAAAATGATTCATAAGCCAGGGAAGCAGAGGGTAAGCTGGGTCTCCCAGAATGACAGAAGGAATTACAACACTATAAATTTTTTAACACTGAGAGTAATTAACCAAAGGAACAATTTACCAAGGGTCATGGTGTATTCTCCATCCCTGACAATTTTTAAATTGAGATTGGATGTTTTTTCTAATAGCTCTGCTGTAGGAAGTATTTGGGGGCAGGACTCTGGTTTGTGTTATACAGGAGAACAGACTAAATAATCACAGTGGTCCCTTCTGGCCTTGGAATGTATGAACAATACCACCAATATCCATAATGGCCATGGGAGCAGAAGTTCTCTTTTTCTTTGCAGAAAACAGAGCTGCGTTTCTGAAGGCATCATGGACCTGTCCACCCCATCCCATGGCAATCAATGAGGCCTTGCAGCACCATGGAAAAATACCCTTTTTGTCAAACTCTGATCTGGTGAGAGGGGGGTGGGATCGTCAGATGGGTTTGATCAAGGGCTCCTGTACAATTTGGGAACCCCAGCTATGCAAGGCCATCAGTAGCCTCCTGTGCATTAGCAAGCATTATGTTCTAGCCCCGCAGCTCCCTCTTGATAGCAGTGCACACCTACATGACAAAAAGTCCCGACAATTGATCTCCCAGCACCAAACCGGCTATCTACTGAACAACAGTTGTCAGGAGTTGGGAGCTTCCAGATGCTGATGGCCACATACTTCTCCACGCTGAGGGGGACTCTCAGGTTGGTGCTTCACCGCTGCAGCTTGGTGGCAAGCTCCACACAGATGTCTAGGGAAGTAGCCTTCTGCAGCCTGAAGTTCTGCGGCCACTGCAGTTCATCCCAACTCTGCAGCACTGTCCTGTCCCACCCATCAGTGCTAGGGGGCCATGAACAGAAGAGGTTCTCCAGCAACTAAAGCCACTCTGGGAAAACTGAATGTAGAAGTAACCGCTTGATCTCATCCTCTTCCTCTATCCACAATGATTCATAAAGGAACTAGCTTAAGCCAGAGTAAACAAAACAGTATAGACGCATCCTTTCACCATAGTTAAACTGGTACAGATAAAGCAGAAAAACATACACTGTGAAAACTTTCCTATGTAGACCAGGCCTAACCTCAGCGATTCTATCATATTCTAATTCAAGGTAGGCAAACTGGATTCTCTCATACCTCAGTGACTGTAATTACTGTGATCTTCTTTTCGCCCATCATTACCACAAGTTCATACAAGCAGCAGATTAACTTTAAAATGGAATCTCTTGGTAGTATCACTTTTGTTGCATCTTCAGTCAATCGGGTATTTTTATATTTCAGAGAATTAGCTTCAAAGTATTTACAGTGTCTTGACTCTGAAGTGATTTTTTAAAATATATTTTTGTGATTATTGCCTATACCCAAAAAGTGAAATAACAAGCTAACTACAATGGAACTAGTGTAGTTAATGGGCCTGGCTTCGAAATGTACAAGACCCCAATGACTGATGAAAGAAGCTTTCCCTCCTTAGCAATAACCAGAGCTCTCACCATTACTGGGTTAACCCTGTGGCTGCTGGAAGATGCTCCTGCAGGCAGTAGCATGTTCCAGCAACATCCATGTCTCCAGTCCCACTTGAGAGTATTATCCCCTGGGGCAGAGGGAATCTCTTGCTGAGTATATCACATACTGGACATTGCTGCAGGGATGGAGGCAGCAGGAGACACTAGAAATCTGGAGTAGAATTTTGTGCATCATGAGGATTTTGCAGAATTTACCTTTCTTGTTTTGGAGAACCCACTGGAACATCACTGAGAGGTGAGAACTGCCTATTTATCGCCATAGACTGTTCACTCTGAACCATAATGATAACATATTGCATTCCAGTATTGGTAATACTTTCTCCTGCTCATTGTGCTTCATCAGTCTGGGTGGATGGCCTATTAATTTGACAGAGCTCTTCACAGGGAGAAAGATGCACCTTCTGCAGGGGAGCTTGGTTTATCTCCCTACTGTTTTTCGTTTGTTTGGAATTCGTTGGATTTCACGATGCTTAGCTGACGTACAGATGAGAAGCTTCTTATTAATCAGCTTTAGTACTCAAAACAGAACTTGAAGATGAACAGAGCAGAGTGCATGAAGTTACAACAAAAAATGTTAAGATATGGTGTTAACCCCCACCCTCACTTACTAACAAGTAATAAATCAAACCACAAAGATTTACCAATCAATAGGAAACGTACTGTAGCATGGAGTGGGGGCTTTTACTACAACACTGAATCCTTAGTACAGGGCTGGATCAATTTACCAGTCAAACTTTGTAACCCAAAGTTATGGGACTGTGAGTGGCAGCTCAACAAAGAGTCATTCTTAAAAGGCAACCTTTAAACAATTGCTTGGTCACTGACATGTCAATTCAGTTTAAATTTGCCTTAAGACTATGACAATCCAGAGACAAGCCTCTTCCTTTCACACAGAGATATCTCACATTAACATAGCTCCATGGTAACCGGTATCAAAGTTATATCTATGTCAAGTTCACCAGAAGCTGTTACCATAAATACTCTGCAATCCCAGTCATGGTGTACTGGAAGCTCCTATGTTACTTTCACCAAGTGGTAAAACAATGATTTATAAAACCACCCAAATTCAAGCCAACGTCGTCTGTGACTGAGCTGTGGTGAGTGCCCATCAGTCTGTCTACAGGCTGCCAGCTCCTCTTTGGGATATGCACATACATCTTCCTAACAAAGTAGCTCTATGCTGAGCTAGTATAACAAATGAGGCTGGTGTGACAAAGCGGGAATTTTCTGTAATATTTTTATGGTTCCTGGGCGTGCCTCAGTTTCCCTCCGTACTCTGCATAGCCACCCAGTGGGTGCAAAAGGGTTCAAAATGCGGATCTTGTGGCAGAGCAGCAGACATAAGATGCTGTGTCATGTAGCTGACTGGGGTGCAGTGACTGGGACATTAAAGGATGGGCTGAAACCGACCCTTTTTTAAATGCCAGACATTCAGACCCGGGAACCAGACCAAAAGGAAGGAGTTTTCCCCCCACCTCTCAGCAGAGCAAAGGCCCCAGCTCAAGAACAATGGGTCGAACTGGTGTCAGGATACTGGGATAACTCCTGGCTTTTACAAAAAGAGTCTGGACTCTCACCTGGTATGCCATCGAGAGGAGAAACCGAGACCGAAACAGATGCTGGCTGGTTGCACTGATGTAGCCAGCATGGACCATGTGTTAACCTTTGCCCCACTGTGCTAACGTAAGGACTTTCAGATTCTATATGCCAGGTAACTAATGAATTGTCACCTTCTGTTGAAAGGGCCGCTTGGTGTCACTGCAGATATTCACTGAGAGCACTGTGCCCTGCAGGACTCTGGCTGGGCTGGATTTGCTGCAGGGAGCCACAGACAGGGATTGCTGGCGCCGAAGGCCCAGTCTGGGAGTCATGGAGGCCACAGGCCTCCCCCTGTGGAGCTGTGTGGGTCCTTGGGACGGGCACATTAAAGGGGTCACTCCCACGGGGCTGATAACAGGCTGGGGCCAGACCAGATCCTGTGACTCTGTGACAGCTGGCTATTGCCACACAGAACACAATATACATTTACATCATTTACAGGCTTCTATGAACTCAGGGACACACTTCCCGACACTTAGAATGACCGAGCTGTCGCTGGGCCAGAGCAGACATATGTTTGAATTCTTTGTTACTTATCAGGTGAAACCAGTGCATAGATAAACTTTCCCGGGGGCGTCTGTATCCAAATGCGTGCTTCAAATGCCATTAATTCAGCACCGTTTTTCAAACTTAATGAATCTCTGAGTATGAGTCTGCTTTTCCACGGCCAGTTTGATTTGTGTAACCTCCCCAGGCACATTGTACGAACGTAACATCGATAAAGCCCATAGACATGTTTATTAGTATAACCACTGCTTTCTAGGCATCCTCAGCACCACAAGGACAGGCAGGGTAAAGCCGCCTGGCATGGTGCCACCTGCTGAGGCTGCATGAGTGGGACTGTGTTTATAAAAGTGTCTGAAATCCAAAACAAAATAATCCCTCCCTTCCTAGAAATAACCATCTGCCCCAGTCCTCTGTGCCCCAAAACCAGATTCCCAGACCCCACTGAGCAGCAGCTCCCTGGAGTCTGCCAGCCAGGCTGACCCTGGCTCCAAGTGGCTCCTTCTGAGCTGGCATGGGGGGGCAGGGATATCAGGGGATGCCGGCTTCTACCTCGTGTGGATTCTCCGATGCGTAAGAAAATTGGAGCAGCGAATGAAGCTTTTCCCGCAATCAGGGCAGTCATAAGGCTTCTCCTCCCGGTGAGTCCTCTGGTGTTTGATCAGGGCTGAGCTCACGGTGAAGCTCCTCCTGCACTCGGGGCATTCGTAGGGCTTCTCTCCTGTGTGGATCCTCTGGTGCGTCATGAGGTTCGAGCTGCGATTGAAGCTTTTCCCGCAGTCGGGGCACCGATATGGTCTCTCTCCCGTGTGGGTTCTCTGGTGTCTAATCAGGTCCGAGCTGTTCCTGAACCATTTGTTACAATCAATGCACTTATAGGGTTTCTCTCCGGTGTGCACTCGCTGGTGATTGATAAGACTGGAGCTCTGACTGAAGCTCTTCTCACACTCCTCGCATTTGTAGGGTCTCTCCCCCGTGTGAATTTTCTGGTGCCTGATGAGGTAGGAGCTGACACTGAAGCTTTTCCCGCACTCGGGGCACTTGTAGGGTCTCTCCCCTGTGTGGGTTCTCTGGTGGGAAGTGAGGTTGGAGCTCTGGTTGAAGCCTTTCCCGCAGTCAGGGCATTTGTAGGGTTTCTCTCCGGTGTGGAGTCTCTGGTGGGTGATGAGGGTGGAGCTGTCACTGAAGCTTTTCCCGCAGTTGGGGCACTTGTAGGGCTTCTCCCCCGTGTGCAGTCTCTGATGAGTGATCAGGTGGGAGCTCCGGCTGAAGCTTTTCCCACAGTCCAGACATTTATAGGGTTTCTCTCCGGCGTGGAGTCTCTGATGGACAATCAGGTTTGAGCTGCGACTGAAGCTTCTGCCACATTCCTCACAGATGGTCGGTCTCTCTTCATTGGGGATTCTCTGGTGGGTGGTGTCCATGGGCCTGTGACACGATTTATCCAATCCTTTCCCTGGCTGGGTTCCTGGCTGCCTTTGCAGTCTGTGCTGACTCTCCCAGGCTTCTCCCTGCTCAGGGCTCTGGGAAACGTTCCCTTCAGCTCTTCCCGACATCCTCCTGTGCGGTTGCACTAGCTCAGGACCTTCCAGCTGAGAGTTCTCCTCCTCGCTCTCACTGCCCATCCCATCTCCTGCTGGGACAGAGAATCCAGACAGCAATCAGTCCTCAGAGAGGCTGACACAAAAAGGGGTGAAACAAATCAATATCAGGATCCAAATCCCCCCAAATCCTTCCCCAGAGGAGAGAGGGGCAAGCCAGGCATCAGACAGGGTTGTTGGAATCCCATGCATGACATCTGCCATGAGGACATAAAACTGGGCTAGGAGCTTACTGAAGCGATCCCTCACCTGTGTGGCTGCTTCTAAGGATCCCCCTTTCTTCAGAGCCCTGGAAATCTGGGCCCCATGGCTCTTCCCCTCGGTTCAGCCGGGAGATCTCACTGGATTTGGGAACAGGAAACCCTGCTCAGGGGAAAAAGCAAGTGGGCTCACGTACGTTCTCTGTTTGTAGGTTGGGGAGGCTGCTGCAGGGTGCCCAGCCCAGCCCTTTTCTTTGCTGCAGGGAGAAGAGAAAAGACAGGAAAATGCTCCCAGAGCCCGCTGGGAAAGGCCAGCATCTGGGGGAGGCATGCTGTGTCCCCTGAAGTGAGCTCAGGGATCTGCACAGACAGGGAACTTGGGCCAGATTTCTAAAGAGGTTTAGGCACCTACAGTCACAGACAGGGGCCTAGTGGGATTCTGTAGAAGCACAATGGGAGTTAGACACTGAGGAGATTTTGAAAATCTCACTCAGTGCCTGTCTGCATCTTTAGGCGGCTACCTACCAGCAAAAATCTGGCCAGTGGGGCCTCAGGCAGAGCAGAGTCAGGAAACACACGTCCATCCCTGATGGGGCAGAGGTCCCAGAGGTAGAATCTGCCCTGGGAAGTGGGGGAGACAGTGAGTTTGTCCCACTTGGGAGCCCAGGTTACGGGGAGAACAGCACCATCATTAAGTCCCTGGATCTCCAGTCCTGTGCACCTGGGGTCTGGGGACTATGGGGCTGTTCCTCCTGAACGCTAAGGAACCAGATCAGAACCCGCCCTGGGAACTTCAGGGATGCCCAGCTCCTGATACCTGAGGGGTAACGAATCCTTACCCAGGAGGTCCCTGTAAAGAACTCTGTGACGTGGATCCAGCAGAGCCCACTGCCCCTCAGGGAAATACACAGCCATCTCCTCGAAGGTCACCGACCCCTGGAACAGCAAGTGTCCCCTGCTCAGTGCCTGTTGCCCAGTCGCAAGCACACAAGCTCAGCCACAGCCTGTCCCAGCCTCCCTCACCATCTGCCGCAGCTCCCACAGGCCTTGGGTTACATCCCCTGCCCACCAGCCCCTCAGGACGGTCCCAAATCACCCCCTCCCATGACCCACACAGACCTGCCCCAGCACTCAGAACCTCCTCTTGCTCCACAGGAGAGAATCCGCCCCCCTCTCGCTCCCTGTGTGCCCAGCTCTCCAGTCTCCCTAGCTTGGGGGCTGCATCTGGGCCTTGGCTGGCCTGACAGCCAACGCATGTGTGGGCTCCATGCGCCCGCCACCGCCTCACTGGCTGTTCAGAGGCCACTTCCTATGGCCTTCTCTGAACAGCCAAGCTGGAGGAGTGGCCATTACACCCTGCCTCTGTCCCATCCCCTGCCCCCTCCCTCGCCCTCTGTGGGGAGAACTGGGCCTAAACGTGAGTGTGAGTTCATAAGACTTCACAATAACCTGTAATAACAAACGGTGATGGGAACCAGTGCAAGGAAACCAGACTGAGACTGGCTTGGTCTAAACTGAAAAGACCACACTGATGTAATCCAATGGCTGCTGAAACTAATGCTTGTTAAAAACGGGTGATGTGGAGCTGGAAACTAATGAATCAAAATTGGTGGACAAAATACCACGTCCACTCACCACTCCCTTTGTGTCTCGTTAAGGAACGAGACTTTGTGAGGACAAGTCGGAAAGAACAGACGGAGGCTAGTGGGGTGAGCTTCGCCACCCTGCCCACCACCCCCACCCTTTCCCAGGATCCCGAACACTCTTTGTCCTGATCCTGAGAGCTGTCCTGACCCGCCCGGGCCAGAGAAAGGGACCCACATGACATCACCACCCGTACCAGCTCCACCGGAATCCCAGTGAAATGGGATTAGACTTTAACAACAGCTCCAGCCCACCTCAATTAACTTTTTCTCTTCCCCTAAAGGACAGTTATTACCGTCTCTGATACCAGGTAAGAGACTGCGAGACAAGGGGCTTTTCCCTTCTAAAACCCTCTCCAGCTAAAGCAAAAGGGAACACGGGATGTCATTAAAATGAAGGCCTCACTTAGCGCTTTACATGTCAAATGCTGTATCTTTAATGGAAGGTTCAAAGGGTGTTTAGTGGTGAGTGTGCCACGGTGCTATAAAGGCTGCAGTCTCTGTACACCAAGCCCTGACCCTTGTTTAACATTAGACAGGGACTGGGTTACGTAAACCTCTTTGGCCCCTTTGTTCCATCTAAATTTATGCTACGCCCCCCACAACACTTTACATAGGAGATCAGCATCATTATCCCCACGTTACAGATGGGGACACTGAGGCACAGAGTGGGGCAGTGACTTGCCCAAGGCCAGGCTGCAGCCAGCAGCGTACCTGAGAATAGAAGCCAGGTCTCCTGCGTGTCTGTCAGGTATGCTAGCCACTAGGCCACACTGCCTTCATTTAAACACAGCCCAATGGGGAAATTCCTCACCCAATGCACTAACCCTCCCCCTTCCGTACTGTGGTTACTCTTCCTGCCACAACCCACTTCCCCTGGATAGATCCCCTACCTGAGCATGATCCGCTGCAGCCATGTCCCTTCCCCGTTCCCCAGCAGACAGGGCAATCCAGAGCCAAGCACGGACGTGGTTCTGCAGCCTGTCAGGGCAAGAAGGGCCAGTGAGGAGATTTCAGAAGGGGCTTTGGTGCATTTCACAGCCCCGTTCATCACAGGCTCTTTCCATGCAAACAGACACTCAGGACTCTGCAGTGTTGAGAACACGCTTCAGTCACCTTATTCCAGCGCCGACCCGGCCTCTCCCACCAGGACTAACCCCACTGAGCCATTTTAACCCCCCTTCCCCCCGTAACAGAGTCCCTGAGCCAAACACTAGAAAAGAGCAGAATCGAAGGAGCCGCTCTGGAGGATCCCCCCTGACACTGTCCCCAAGGCTGGCAGCACATCCCCCCAGCAGCGCAGGGACTAGACAGAGGCAGGAACTGGCTTTTCCTCTCCCTGCTCCTCACTTTGTCCCAGGAAAGTCAATCTGCCCCGGGGTGCTGCAGGGAATGGGGCTGGGCTGGGCTGGGAGCCGGGAACCTCCCTCCCCACTGACTGCTCCTGCTGCCCCTGCCAGCCTCTATCCCTGTCTCCTTCCTGCCCCCTCTCCCCTCCCCTCGGGCGGGGAGCAGAGCCTAGGGGGTCAGGGAGGGCAGCAGTTCTGGGACTCGCAGACCCCCGCCCCCCCGGGAACAGAGCTGGGGCGAGGAGGGGCCGGTGGTGCAGAGTCACTTTCCTATCCGGCCACAGCCCTTTCCCCCGGGTCTCTCCCCTCACCTGCAGGCTCCGGCTCAGGGGCTGATGTCGGCAGAGCCCGGAGCTGCCCCAGGGGCTGGTTCCAGCCCCCGGAGAAAGTCCCCCCGGCTGGGCACAGAGGGGCGCTAGGGAAGGGCTCTCCCCGCGCACACCCCGCGGAGCAGCAGCGGCTCAGCTTGGAAAGGAATCCGGACTCACAATGGAGGCAGCAGCAGCCTCTGACCCAGGAAGCTCAAACTCGGTATCTTCAGACAGGGAAACACCCACTGTCCATAGTCAGCAACCGACAATAGCCAGGGCCCTCTGGTGGCCACAGTTAGTGGTACCAGACGAGGGCCCCTTTCCCTCCCTTCCCTTCCTGGGGAGTAATTCAATGCAAGAGGCATTTTCTGCTGGGATAAAGAACCCGCATGAATCTCCCCATGCAGGTACTTATAAACCAGGATCAAGTCACCCTCTAACCTTCACTTGAATAAAACGAACCGATGGATCTCTGTAAGTCTTTCGCTCTGAGGCAGGTTTTCCAAACCTTGAATAATTCTGGTGGTTCTTTTCTTTGTCGTTTTAAGGTTTTCGACATCCTTGTTGAAGTGAGAACACAAGAAGTGGACAGTGTGTCCAGTAATGGTCTCCCTAATGCCCTATAACGAGACAATACCACTTGTCTACTCCTACTCAGTATTTCCCTGCTTCTACCTCCAAGGATTGTACTGATTCCCTTAGCAACACAGCATCACACCAGGAGCCTGTGTTCAGCTGGATTCCACCATGAATCCTAAATTCTACCCAGAGGCACTGCTGTCAAGGATACAACAGTCCCCCAGCCTTTATGTGTGACCAGCCTTCTTTGGTCCTAGATTTGAAATATAAAATTAAACAAATAAGGAAAACTACCCATAATATCTTTTGAAACAATATTTTCAAGGTTTGAAATTTTTCAAAATCATTACAATAAAAGATTGTTTTGGCAGGGATATTAATCCTCCTGCTTCAGGATTTAATTCAATGTCTATTATAGAGACCAAGCCTATGAAGGGCCAGATCTGTTTGTGTCTATTACTGCAGAGTTCTTACACAGGTAGGCCATTCATCCGGTTTTAAGACAGACAATCAGGGGGTAGGGGGTAGGGTATGGTTTTTCCGCTGTCCAGTACTGAGACAAAATCAGATGTGGTTTTGTCCAGTATCACACACAGAGGACTTCATTTTTAAGAGCGTACCACTTCACCCTCGCTGCCATGGCCTTGCAAACACTGACCAGTAAAGCTGAGAATGGGGAAACTCAGTGCATGTCACAGTAACAAAGCAATAATACCTGAGGTGCTAAGGACAGGAAAACTCAATGTACAGACCAGAAACAAAGTGTTGAGACCTGGGAAACAGATAATGGGGAAATTCAGTGCATGGCACAGGCACTCAGTTCTGAGACTGAGATCTGGTAAACTCAGAGTATGCCACAGACAAACAGAGGTGAGACCAACAAGATAGCTGAGAAAAGGGACAATCTGTGCATGGTACAAACACACAATGCTAAAACCATGGCACCAGAGAAGCGGAAATGCGGAGTTTGGCACATACACACACCACTCAGATCAGGGCTGATGAGCATAGGGAATGAGTGCATGAAACTGACACACAGCACTGAGACCAGGGCAGATGAGAATGGTAAAACTCGGTCCATGGTACAAACACATAGGACTCACAAGAGATCAGCAAGCAATGAGGGAACTCATATAATGACACAGTCACCAAGCAAGGAGACCAGGGGAACTGAGAATGGGAAAGGTTGTTACATGCCATACACATACCACACTAAAACCAAAGGAGCTGAGAATGGGGAAATTCAGTGCATCACACACATTCACTCAGTGCTTAGACCAGGGAAGCTGACAATGGGAAAACTCAGCACATGACACAGACATGAACTGAGAACAAGGGAGCTGAGAAGGGGGCAATTCAGTGCAGAGCACCCACACTTAGTGCTGAGACCAAGGGAGCTGAGAATGGGGAAGTTAAGTACATGGCCCAAAAACAGAGTTAAGACATGGGCAGCTGAGAATGGGGACACATGGTGCAGAGCACAGACAACCAGCGATAAGAAATGGGGTGCTGAGAATGAGGAAACTTGGTCCATGGCACAGACTTTCAGCACTGACACCAGGTGAGATGAAGTGGGGGGTTCTCTTGGTTTTTTATTGTTTTTTTCAATGGTTTGCATGCAGAGGGGGTGGGACTCAGTTTCCCTGGGTGTTACTGGTTTAACAAGGTGATGGGAGAGGGAGTTTGTTGTTACAGAGGACCAGCAACAGAACTTAGGACACCAGCCACTGGCCTGGAGAATGGATACCCCAGTGACTGGTGTCATGGTGACCGGGAGGCCCAGCTCGGGAGTCACAACTAGTTCTGGCCAGTGGGAGGACAATGGGCTGCAAAGAGAGGACCCCAGTGACCTGATCAGCCAGTTCCAGCCAGGTGACACTGTTTACCTGGATAGAAGACAATGGACAGAGGCAGGGCTTGGGGGAGGTGATATCAGATGCCCAGCTGGAAAGCACAGGGGGCTCAGGACTCGAGAGAGAGAGCAGGCAGAGCCCACCTGGATGAAGGAGAGACTTAGATGTACTGTGCTGAGGGAGGCCAGGCCTGAGGACCTCAATAAACCCTCCTGTTTTACACTGGCTGAGAGTCACTCCGGTCTAGAGAACAGGGTTCCACTAGGCAACCTAGTGACAGAGGATGTGGAAAAAGCTAATGTACTCAATGCTTTTTTTGCCTCTGTCTTCACGAACAAACTCAGCTCCTAGACTACTGCACTGGGCAGCACAGTGTGGGGACGAGGTGACCAGCCCCCTGTGGAGAAAGAAGTGGTTCAGGATTATTTAGAAAAGCTGGACGGGCACAAGTCCATGGGGCCGGATGCACTGCATCCGAGGGCGCTAAAGGAGTTGGCGGATGTGATTGCAGAGCCATTGGTCATTATCTTTGAAAACTCATGGTGATCAGGGGAGGTCCCAGATGACTGGGAAAAGGCTAATGTAGTGCCCATCTTTAAAAAAGGAAAGAAGGAGGATCCAGGGAACTACAAGCCAGTCAGCCTCACCTCAGTCCCTGGAAAAATCATGGAGCAGGTCCTCAATTTTGAAGCACTTCGAGAAGAGGAAAGTGATCAGGAACAGTCAGCATGGATTCACCAAGGGCAAGTCATGCCTGACTAACCTAATTGCCTTCTATGAGGAGATAACTGGCTCTGTGGATGAGGGGAAAGCAGTAGACGTGTTATTCCTTGACTTTAGCAAAGCTTTTGATACGGTCTCCCACAGTATGGGCTGGATTAATGGACTATAAGGTGGATAGAAAGCTGGCTAGATCATCAGGCTCAACAGGTAGTGATCAATGGCTCCATGTCTAGTTGGCAGCAGGTATCAAGCGGAGTGCCCCAAGGGTCGGTCCTGCGGCCTGTTTCGTTCAATATCTTCATTAATGATCTGGAGGATGGCATGGACTGCACCCTCAGCAAGTTTGCAGATGACATTAAACTGGGAGGAGTGGTAGATATGCTAGAGGGTAGGGATCGGATACAGAGGGACCTAGACAAATTAGAGGTCTGGGCCAAAAGAAATCTGATGAGGTTCAACAAGGACAAGTGCAGAGTCCTGCACTTAAGACGGAAGAATCCCATGCACTGCTACAGACTAGGGACCAAGTGGCTAGGCAGCAGTTCTGCGGAAAAGGACCTAGGGGTTACAGTGGATGAGAAGCTGGATACGAGTCAACAGTGTGCCCTTGTTGCCAAGAAGGCTAACGGCATTTTGGGCTGTATAAGTAGGGGCATTGCCAGCAGATCAAGGGACGTGATAATTCCCCTCTATTTGGCATTGGTGAGGCCTCATCTGGAGTACTGTGTCCAGTTTTGGGCCCCACACTACAAGAAGGATGTGGAAAATTGGAAAGAGTCCAGCGGAGGGCAACAAAAATGATTAGGGGGCTGGAGCACATGACTTATGAGGAGAGGCTGAGGGAACTGGGATTGTTTAGTCTGCAGAAGAGAAGAATGAGGGGAGATTTGATAGTTGCTGTGAACTACCTGAAGGGGGGTTCCAAAGAGGATGGATCTAGACTGTTCTTGTTACCTCTGTTCCCCTAAAAACCAACCCAGGGTCACACTTGTATTAGTTTTATTACGATGCCGCTGTTGGGTCAGATAGAAAAGAGATGGAGCTTATTCATACACGCACACATTCACTGCATTGGTGGAGCTTATTCATATATGCACACATGCACACATTCACTCATGCACCCACACACTTACACAGGCGGAGAGTTACCGGAGAC